AGCTCGAGTACTTTGGCCAAATCGATTTTCTTAACAATGCTTCTAAAGTATATAGAAGCAACCTTATATAAATTTTATCACTGTTTATTTGAGAGCAAATATGGCCGCAAGAAGGATGCAATCCAACAACCGTGTCCGTAAACCCTTTTGGTTTTTTGCAACCCTACTACCTATTACTTGTAGCTATTACTTGTAGGGCTAGTATTCATTCCGTCACATAGGTTTTTTACAGCCCTACTGCCTATTACTTGTAGGGCTGGTACCTACTCCTCCCCTCAATAATCCTTGCACATGCGTTCAATTTAAAGTTTCAAATTTTTCCAAGATACATGGTGCCATTCCCATTTGGGACATCATCTCTCTCTGTCTACATTCTTAGCAACCCCCTCTATCCTTATCACATCTTTCTTTTGTTCGACTACATCAATTACCCTAGTTAGGGGAGGCAATGGGTCGGGTCCAGTTGGACCTGGATTTGGACCCGAATAGTATTTGGGTCTAAAATTTCGACCTAGAATTCGTTAGGTCTTAGATCTGATCCTATGATTGTGAGTTTTTTTTTTTTTGCCCTTGCTTTTACTGTCATGTACCTCATGACTATAAGCTTCTTCATTTTTTTTGCCAATAATATTGTGAATGTTGCCGATAGTGTGACTATATGAACAACTAAAGTGTGCCTAAAGACACATGATTGTCAGCCTACAACCCATGACTACATGTATGGGGTCGGGTACAGGTCCTGTCCAACTGGACCCAACCCGGACCTGAATAGCATTTGGGTTCAAATTTTCGACCCATACTCAAACCCGAGGTCTAGTATACCCATCGGGTCCCAAGTCTAGTCGGGCTCATTTCCACCCCTAATCCTAATTTCCTTCCCTCTCTCATAAGTGCATCGCCAATAATTCGATAAAACGACTCAGATTTCTTTTCTTCACGTTTTTTTGACGTTTATTGCAGCAAGTTATACTTTTGACAAAACTACTTCCAAAATTTTGGTCCAAGCGTTCAATACAATGGGGGACCATTAAAAAAAATGACTTTCTCCTAACTGGTACACATTAAAGAATGGGATGGTAACCACTCCTGTGGTTCGAATTGAATTGATGCAAATTGACAGTGGGGTGAGGTTCGAATTAACATTATTTGCCTTCACATTGACCAGTTTCTATTACTGTTATTTTACCAGTAAGAAGCATGTGCTTTGCACGTGGTTAAAAAACATTGACTATCAAATCAAAAATATAAACTTTTTTAGATATTACAATGAGAAAAAAATAAAGCAAATGAATCACAAAAAAATAATTATTTACATTAATTTAATAATGTGGTGAAGTAGTGCTACTGTTTACCCTCTTATGATGTTAAAATACATTTTAAAAGGAATGAAAATTTGTAACTTAAAATATAAAATTTCTAAAACTTTTAAAAATAACTCTCAAGCAGGGAATTTATGGCGGTAGAAGAGTAAAACAGTCATTTTAATTCGATTAAAATAGTGTCATTGTTTTCTTGTTGATACAATTAAGGAAACGGAATGGATTTCATCCTCGGAGGTGAACACAACAATTGCTTTATGTTGACTATACATGCATGATTTAGAGCCACCTCCAGGTTTAATTAATGAACATCTCACTACTTTAAATTGAGCAGTACTCATTAACCGATAAATAATAAATAAAAATTATATAATTCCTATAGCAATAAACAAATAGAGAAGTTCAAATGATTATTAATATCATTATAACTCAAATTTAGAAAATAGAAAAAAGAAATAGACGCATCGCCTTGTTGCTCAATTTTCCACATATCTTAAGATATCTAGACGAAGTTGGAAAACACCTTGTTAATGCTTTTTTGCTCAATTTTCCGCTTATGCTCAAATATCTATAACAAATTAAACACTACTTATTAACTAAAAAATCATAAATAAATAATAAAAAATCCTATAACATAAACAAATAGAGAAGTTCAAATAGAGGAAGAGATGATATAGAAAGGTAGTGGAGAGAGATACAAAGAGGATCGTGGAGAAGAGATAGAGATAGATAGAGTCGTAGAGAGAGACAAGAGAAGCAATTGAGAAGATAAGAGAGAAGGTAGGAAGGAAAGATACTAACTTCTCAATATCTCACCAGAAAAATTGTTTAAAAAAAGGGCGAAAAGGAAAGGGAAAGGGAACCTTTTAGACATGTTTTACATGCCTCTCTAATTAGATCTCTATTTAAAAATTATATTTTATGTAAATTTGATTTTATAATTTATATAGAGAAAAGAGTGAATTGATCATCTCTTTAAATATTATGTTACGTAATTTGGATACAGATGGTAGATTTGGAAGAGAAAAATAGAATTACATATGTAAATGTCCAAATCTCAATGTTTTTCTATCCATAAAATTCCATTCTCTATCTATAAAATTCACTTCTAAAAATCTCTCCCCTATATCTATCATTATCTCTCTCCCCCACCATTTATCTCTCACTCTTTTATCCACATCTCTCTCCCCCAAGATGATTATCTCTCTCTCCCGTCCCCCTAAAGGTAGGAAAGTGAGGTGTATAGTCACCTATCCTACCATCTCTATAGCATCCTACCATCTCTATAGCATTAGGGTCCCTTCCAATTCTCGCAACATGTGTCCATCCCTTAACTCTAGCTTAGTAATGTAGTATAGACAATAGTGATAATTCCGTCATTTTCAAAACGAGGTCTATATAAAAATAAAATAGTATTCTTTATTATTTAATCAAAAGAGAATCAATTTAATAGGCTACGGTGAACTAGAGTTTCTCAATTGTTATTTAACATTGCTTTTGTAATAGAGCTGGCAATGTGCTGGGCCAGCCCTAGCCCGGCCTTATTTCCCTGAGGGATGGCCTAGGGGCAGCCCTGGCCCTGGCCCTGGCCCTGACCCTGGCCCTATGAGGGCTGGTTGGGTTAGATTAGAGAAAAAGAAATGGAAAAATATATAAACAAATAAAAGCCAGGTTGGGCCTCTCTTGGCTTGGCCCGAGCCTAGCTCTCAAGCTACATCGAGCTAGGCTGGGCCACACAAACCATTGCCACCCCTACTTTTGTAGGTGTATCTAGCAAAACTTTATTACCTTTATCTATAATTATGAGCTATAAAAAATCTACTATTTTATATGCTTAAGACTTTGTTAAAGTTAAATTTAAGGGAAAGTGTAGAATGAGACCATTTACCTTTATACAAAGGTGGTCACAATAATCTTGGCCATTGGATGTAAAGTTGGGTGGAAGCAATTATTTCATTCACCAAGCTCAAACTTCAAACGAAATTTTCTCGAATGTTATGACACATCTAAGCTATCAAATTTCACATCAAATGGTTATAAGGAATTGTGTATACAAGGTAAATAGTCTCATTGTATACATTCCCTAAATTTAAGGGAAATTATGCGAAATATACTTTAATTTTCCTCAGATTGAAAAAAAATCGTCAACTTTTATAGACCTCATCCACACATTTTTTCCTCAATTTTGACTTCATTTTTACCCAAATAGCATTTACAGTAGTCGTATTACCATAATAACTACCATATTACGATACTTTAAATACCGTAATGACCTGACTAAGCATTACGGTACTTTAAGGACTGTAATGACCAGACTAAGCATTATGGTACTTTAAATACCACAATGCTCAGATGTGAAAAATTAGGGAGAAAGAGACCCATTGAGCATTACGGTATTTAAATTGTCGTAATGCTTAGGCTGGTTATTACGGTATTTAAAGTATAGTAATATTTAGCCTAGTCATTACAATACTTAAAGTATCGTAATGTGGTAGTCATTATGGTAATACGACTACCATGAAGATTATTTTGATAAAAAAAAAATCAAAATTAAAGTAAAAACAAAAAAAAAAAAGTTTGTGGATGAGGTTTATGAACGGTAAAGATTTTTTTTCAATTAAACAAAAATTAAAATATATTTCTGATTATTTCCCTAAATTTAATTCATTATACAAGAAAATTAGAAGTCAACATCCCTACTCCAAATAAACCTTATCCCATACGAGGGGGATTCCCTTACTTGGTGGATCCCACCACTTTGCTTAAAAGACCTTAGAAAATGGTCAGGCTAAGCATAACAGTACTTTAAGTGCCGTAATGACCAGGCTAAGCATTATGGTACTTTAACTACCACAATGATCAGATGTGGAAGATTAGAGAGAAAGAGACACATTGATCATTACTGTATTTAAAATGACGTAATGCTTAGCCTGGTTATTACGGTATTTAAAATACCGTAATACTTAGCCTAGTCAATACAATACTCAACGTACTGTAATGCGGTAGTCATTATGGTAATACGACTATCATGAAGGCTATTTTAGTAAAAATCAAAATCAAAATTAAAGTAAAAAAAGAAAAGTTTGTGAATAAAGTTTATGAAAGTTTAAAAAAAAAATCAATTAAAAAAAATTAAAATATATTTTTGATAAATTCCGTAAATTTAATTCATTATACAATAAAATTAAAAGTACATCCTTACTCCAACGAAACCTTATCCCATACGAAGGGTATTCCCTTGGGTCCCACCACTTCGCTTAAAAGACCTTAGAAAATGGTTATATTTATCCTGGAACCCAATTCGACGGCCTCAATGAAACGTACAAATACCCTTTAAAAAGTCTAAACTATCCGTAATACCCCTCCACCCGCAAATGATTTAGTGCTCTCTTTTCATGGTGGCTCACAAAGAGTCGGAGCCTGTCCGCCACTTTTATCTGACACGCGTCAAGATCGCAGAGGTTCATCTGCCGCCGGCCCATCGCCACACATTTTGGCGAGAGTGAGATGAGCGGTTCATATTTCTTACATGTGCGATGACTCAGCAACAGTTGGCACAATCTGAGTCATAGGGCCAATCCGACCTCGCCGTCTTCGAAAAGCGCCGCGGCTTTTCCGACGTGGCGTCCCTGATAATATAACCAATAATTTTCTGCCGCGCCATCCCCTCTCAGTGCCTTTAAATTCCCTGACCCCCTCCTTGTCCGCTCTCTCAACTTCACAACAAAAACCAGAAATAACGTATTTCCATTTTTATCCTCTCTCTGAACCATGTTTTCTTGAGAATTAGGGTTTTTACCTCTTCTCATTTTCAAGACAATCTCTGCTTTTCCAATGTTCCTGGTTCTTGTGTAATCGCCATTTTTTACACTGATTTCTCTCTCTTCAACTTTATATGCAAATTTTTGCTATTTATTGTTAGTTTCATTATACTTGGAAGGAAGCATGGAAACTGCCTTCTCTGAAACTACCTGTTTGGAATACGGCTTGCCATCCCTTCCCTTTACAGAAAAGCTTCTTCAACATCTAGGGTTTCGTCTCGCTCCCCTTTACTCTGATTCGTCCTATTTTTGGGCATGGCTAGCTTTCCTTGCTACGGTTTTAGCTACTGTCAAATTCAGGCCTTTTTGCCGGAAAATCCCCGAAAAGACGACTGAATCTCCGCCGGAAATATTCTATGATTCAGATTTTGATGACGAGTCATCTATCGATGACTCCGATGACTCAGGGGCCTCGGTCAGTGAAATTTCAGAAGAAGATGAACGGGAATGCTCATTTTCTGGCCACCAGGAAACTGATTTCCGGCATGGGCAGGGGTGCCTCGGCCTGGACTTCACAAAGGGGAGCGTCGTTAAGCTGTGGGATAACATAAGGGAGAAAGCCTTGACATTAAAGGGTTTCCCTTTAAGCGATCACGTCCTCTCTGATCCAAGACACGTTCTATCTCTGTGGGATTCGAATAAAGAAACAATCGTAAGTGCCTTTCTCTCTCACGGCGGCGGCGGCGGCGGCCGCCAAAATATTCCGTCCGATTTGGTGACGAGTATAGGGGAGGGGTCGGAGAAGAGGGCATTGAAAGTGTGGGATCTGAGAGCTGGACGTCAGGTTCCGGCAGCTGTGGCAGAGTGGGATCGACTTTCCGGCGGTGTTGGTCAGAGTTCCGGCAGGCTGGTGGGGGTTCATGACCTGAGGATGATGGACGGGGGGATGGTGGCGTTGGGGGCATCTAACGGCCTGGAGTGGTGGGACGCCGAAGACGTGGCGGTGGTTGGTGGACATGGGGAGGAGGAGGAAGGGTCGATGGTGTCGTGGTGTTACAACGCGGTTAGGTCCATTTCCTCCACCTGGGCAACGTGACTCATTGGATTAAACTGACTTACTTATAAGCATACTGTAGCTTAGCAAATTGGTGTTAATAAAATTATTAATTTTTTCCCTCTTCGCAGGGCCAAATGGAAAATGGTTTGTAATTATTATCTTAGAGAGAGGGAGAGGACATTGCTATATTACAGGAGAGAGAGTTGTGTGCTACTTAAATCATACTGTCTGGTGGGTGTGTTAAGAGAGAGAGAGAGAGTTGTCCACGTTGCAAGGGGTGGTGATCCAACTCGGACCTGAAAAATTGATATGGGATCCAGATTCAGACTCAAAAATATAGTGTGGGACCTGATCCAAACTCGGATCGGACATGACTTAAAAATTAAAATACTTATATATTTAATTATATTTTATATATTGAGACCCGGAAAATATTACTTGACCTAGACTTGAACCCAGTTCGGGTCCAAGATTTAGACCCAGACCTGATCCGTTAGGTCCAACTTTTGAACCCGTAACCGGACCCGGATTGGATCTACCCTTTGGGTAGGACCCGAATAGACCCAACTTAAAATTAAAATATATATATATATATTTAACTATATTTCATATATTGAGATACCCAGATTCAAATAGTATTCGAGTTCAAAATTTAGACCCAAACCCGATCCTTCGTTAGGTCCAATTTTTTAACCCATAATCAAACTCGAATCGGATCTACCCCTTAGGTCTCGGGTTGGGGTCCAATTCCACCCCTATGCTAAGTACAATGTCTGATACGGTCTTTGTGTCTGGCAACGGACTGGTCAGACCAAATAAAATTAAAACCAAAACCAAAAACAAAAAAAAAATAAAGGGCAAAAAAAGGTCCAAGCCAGCCAGCCAGCCCTATCCGTAGATCGTGGTTGCCCAGCCCTCGGACCACATGTCGTCGCGTAGGCCCTAGTTTTCTAGGGCTGGACTTACCCAACCACCCTTGTGGGTGTGTTGAGACTTGAGAGAGAGCGTGTGTGATTTATGTGCTAGTAAGCGTAACGTTATGGTGAATGTGAAGAGAGATAGAGATAAGGGAGGCGTTTTTAATTCCACAACAAACCAAGTCCTTGTTTGCCATTTTATGTTATGAATTTTGAAAATATCCTCTTCTTCCGGCCTGAATACATTTGGTCGCAAGCAAGATTATCTAAATATTTTTAGGATTTTATTTAGAATCAACCAAATCCGACAAAAGTATTGACTCACATTACCAACTAACCATTTCATGAAGGCATCCTATAAAATTATTTATTTACAAGGAAATCACATTGAATGCTATCTACCCATTTGAGTTGTATGCAAACGCATTTTAATGATGCCATTATCTATATCAATAAATAGGTTCTCTTTAATTGCTTAAATGAGAGAAAGAGCTCCTAAAAATACAAAATTAAAAATTATGGGAGTTTTATTCATCAGTTTGTGAAGCGGAGGTAGGGATGGACCCACCTCGGGTCCAGATATGGGTCAAAAGTTTGGATCCGGCAGGTCGGGTCCAAGTCTCAATATTAGACCCAAACACCATTCGGGTCCGGGTCTAGGTCCATGTGGATCGGATTTGAATAATGTTAATATTTTAATAATATTTAATATATAATATTTTATTAGTATTTAAATAATATTTAAATGAATATAACCATAAATTTTTAGTTATCATATTTAGATAATATATATATATATATTTAACATAATATTTAAAATATATTAAAATTTATAATTTTTATTTTTGGGTCTGATCCAATCGGGTCTGATCGGCTGGACTTGGACCCGGACCCGTCCCGACACGTCGCCACCCGTAGGCAGGGGACCAAGAGAAAAGGAGAGAATCAACTATTCAAGGGTTTCATCGGTCATGAATTGAGGAGAAAGACTCCCAAAGTTGTGGATTGGATCCGACCTGCTGATCGGTGCCTTGGTTGGCATGGGCAATTTGACAGGGACTAATGTTCAACTTGGCTGTCTTGGTCCAAAGCAAAAAGTGGACTCCATTAAAAATCAATCAAAATTAGTATTTAATGTGTTTTGGCCAAATCAAACAAAATTAATATTTAATATGTTTTGACTGGTTGGATTAGTTGGTTTTAAATAACTAGACTGGTTAGGCAAACTTACTTATTTTTATTAATATATTTTATAAAATATACTTTCTAGTTTTGGGTATGGTCTTCATAAGGCTGCAATCTTAAAAAATCAAAATAAGATGTATATCCAAACTTTGTTATAAGTACAATTTTGGTGTCGAAAATTCTTAGGATGGCAAGAGAATCTATTTTTATCTTTAGTTATAAAATTTTGAACTTGAAATTTGATTCAAATCATACAAATCTATAAACACTTGAAAATGTTGAAAATAGACGGTCTAAATAATGTATTGCAAGATATATTATTAATGAGACTTGAAATCTTTCCTATCTACATATTTGTACATAATCAATTAAATATATTTTGATATATTATTAATGAGACTTGAAATCTTTCCTATCTACATATTTGTACATAATCAATTAAATATATTTTCCAACATTAAAGTGGCTTTTTTCTTAGGATTTTTGAGGTTCATTTTAATTTTACATTATAACGTGTCAACTTTATATAAATATTTTTTATTTTTTTTTATTTTTCAGATATACAACTAAGAGCTCAATGACCGTACGTACCTATTTTGAGTGGACCAAAAACCATCAGGCCTCTAAGATCCGATACCAGATGCCAAACTTAGGAACAAAGTTTTTTATTTGTCATTTTGAAGCCCATAATTCTTCCCATTAGGGCCGTGAAGGCCAGATACGGACTTACGTGCACGCAAGAATAATCACACAATCATTACATATTCCTCCTTTCTTCACAATCCCAATGACCTTCTACCACAAATATCCCTGATTTCCATCCAAAATCTCCCATGGCAAATGTACATCAAACAAACCAATGTTGCAAAACACTGTTTGGTGACGTAGATCGCAAATCGCAAAAATTGGTTAAGTGACCCGGATTGCCAATCCCAAATATCGGTTTGAATCGATAGATTAGAGATTCATATTGGCGATCCACTTGAGATAACAATGTAGAAAAATTTAAAAAAATTAAAAATAAAATAAAATAAAATAAATGGTGTAGTTTGTATAGAGCCGAGACTCTAAACAATCAAAGTAAAGCACACATTCAAATAGTGTTGAGAAATCTGGTTTCAATATTGAAAATCTTTGTGATAGCCTTAAAATATATCTTTAATTATAAAATTTAAAGGTTAAAAAATAATGTAGATCGAGAATAATTATGAAAACTTGAAAATCTTGAAAATTGACAGTCCAAAAATGCGTTACAAGATGCACTATTTCTAAAATTTTAAATCTATTTTTTTCTCATGTCCATGCATCTTGATGTCGAGATGATCAATTTGAATATATTTAGGCATCAAAACAACCTCTTCTAACAAAATTTTTTAGGTGGGCTCTAACTTGATTGTTTAGAGCCTTGGCTCTATATAAACTTTTTCCATAAAAAAATTGAAAAAAAATAATAAAAAACAATGGGACCTGATCGGCCACTTCCCTGACAGAACTAGTGGGCCGGTTCTCAATATATTGTGGGAATTGAACTGACCCACAAATTCTCAATCCAGATCATACAATTCCGATTCAGATTAGTCATATGAACATTTTCCAATTGCAATACATAAGGTGTAGCCAAATGCCCCAACCTTAAGTGCCAATCCTCAGACAACATTTGAGAAAAATATAAATTTAGATTTTTTTAATATCATACATCCAGAGTTGGTTATCAAACTTTGCCTGAAGTGTTGGCATGAACTATATCAACATGCATGCACAAGTTATAGTCATTTAATCCTCTTGTCTTCTTGTTTTGAAAACGTAGCTTTGTTTTATTAAAAATTTACCAACCGGAGGCATAAGTTCTTCACTCCCATTTGCCACTAAATTGTTAGATGTGGCCCATATTAATATAATTATTCCCTTACAAGGTGATACAAGTACTACACATAAGTAAGCCAAAAGACATTCTATCCCCTCGAGAGTAGAATGTTCATTTACTCCCATGGGTAAAATGCCATTTAAGATTAATTTTAGGACCTCAAATTTAGTAATTTTCAAGTAGTTCCCAAAATTTTATATTGAAAAAACCCTCCCAAGACCAAAGGAGTAGAAGGCAACTATGCTCCAGAAAGAGCATAGGCTATATGCTCCATAAGCGAAGCGTTTTAAAAGCACCAAATTGGAACTTTAAATGCGAGGGATATATTCGTTATCTGATTCTGGTGATTATGAAAGCAGTGCACAAAAAAATTTTATTTTTCTTGAATTGATTAATTATATAGATTAGGAACCCAATATCACTAGCATGGAACCATAACGTAATGATCAATATATGAATAAAACTACAAAGGAATTACTTGGGGTCTACTTTGTTGCCCAAGCACTAAAACTTCCTTATTTTTCCGCATTTTTTAGTATAGTTTAATTCTTATTTGTAAAAGTATTCTATACAGTCCATTTTGGTTGAACAGTATAGATCTAATACGTCTATTAAAACAAATAAAAAAATAACATATATTTTAAAATAATATAAAATCTATACAATCCAAATAAAATAGATGATATAGATTACTGTAATCTTATTTTTACAAGTAATATTACAATTATATATAAACTTTTTCTTTTTGTAACCTTGCTCGTTACATGTTACATTTGCATTATAGGACCCACCCAAGCCCTGCCTGGCTTGGCCGTGACCGGGCAAAAGAGGTCCTAGCCCTTGGGCCCTGGGGCCCATTTGTCGCCTATGCCCTAATTTGTTTTACGGCCGAGTGTCTCCCATTGCCTGATATCCAATAAGGGCTTAGGGGCAAAGGTTTTTTTGGGATTGGTTGAGAGTTGGAGGTATATTCTGGATATTAAAGTACAGATTAGTGGCACTTTTTGAATCATTAATTCATGTATTAAATTTCATTTCGTTTCCTATTGGGTGGACAAGAAGCAGTTTATCTTGATTTAGGATTTCTAAGGTTGGCATAGCTACGGTATCATGATGTATAACCACCTCAATTTTCAAACAAAATTTTTCCCAA